GCGCGGGCATATGCCGCGCCAGCAAGGATGCGGTGAAGGCCATCACCACGTGAACCCGATGGCTCCAATGCCAGCGCGGGCTAGTCAGTCTGTGTCATTGCGGGTAGACCGGCCCCCGCCGGAAGTTGGGTGGTTCGTTGGACTTCTTAATATTATGCCCGGGTTGGCTGCATATAAATGGATGTGAAGCCTCGCCGAGTCCCACCGTCACCGAACTATGCCCTCCTTTTTCTCTCTTCTCATCCGTAAATTGGACCTCTTGCTTGTGTTGTTTGCATTTCAATTTCTGGGAAGCACACACGCATTGGACAACGACAACGATGATCAGCACGCTGATGACTGGGACACATCGCACATTGTTGGAATCGTGCTATCATGTAAGTAGGCTGGTCGTCATCGAGCCGCTGATTTTCATCGGCATCAGGTATCCTCCTCGTAATCATCGTTGTCGGCCTGGTATTGCGCCGGCGCAGGATCGACAGGGAAGGTGCCGGGGGTGCGTTTGTGATGCGCTCTCGACGCGGGGGCGGGCTTGCCCCTTCAGGTCCGTCGTCCGTTTTTCTCGTCCAAGTCCAGAAACTAATCACTTCGCATTCATTTCGGCATTATCCCTTGTGATAGATCCATCCAGGCCGCCCGCATATCCACCACCTGCTGTTGTGCCAGGATATGGGCCGGCTTCGGTAGCGCTCAGTCCTTCTCGAGTTCCTTTCCACATTTAATGAAATGCCTAGTATTACCCCCCTCCCCCTATTGCGCCTGGGCCGGGACCGGTAGGTATCCTTCTTTAAACGCCTATCTAGTCTAATGGGCTGGTAGTATGCGGGCCCGCCGTCCATTGCGCCGGAATATGCGGAAGACCCGACACTGATGTACACGGTCGGCAAGGAACCCGTGTAATAGCACTGAGCAGGAAACCCAACCCTGGTGGTTGATTCACTCAATTTCCCCTCTTTATAAAATTATGTTTCTCTGTTTGTCCGAAGCCTTTTGAAACTCGGCCAACTTTATCACACAGCTGTTTGATAGTTGTCGGCCGTGCCGTTGACCGCCGCCACACCTTCCGCTGTTTGTCTAGTCATTGACTCGTTGTTATTGGCATCCGAGCCCCCCCCCACACACATACACATCGAATTTAGCCCATCTAAATCTGAATGGATATAATAAAGCTGACGAATAAAAAGGGTTTAGTTCGACGCAAGTCATTTCAGAAGTACATATAGACCACTGCCTGGCCTTGAGTGGCATTATTAATGATAAACATCCAGTGTTTGCGTCGGCGCACGACTGTTCTCTGAGAAATGAATAGAATTCTTCATATTTTGGAACAGCAAGGATGATCGCATTACGATGGGTTGTCATACGAATGCTTGCGCACCTGCTGTCGGTCTTTGTGCTGGTGATGAAAGAGATCAAGCACAACCGGTTCGGTGAGATCGCTGGCGGTTGCAAACATATTTGGTACTGAAGGATGACTGGTTCCAGGCTCGTACCTGCGGACTCTCCCGGCGAACAGATGTTCAGGATGCTTTGAAGAAACTGAATGACCTCATCGGGGCAGAGCTATCTGTGGGCGTCGCACACGCTATGGTCTTTTTGCAGGAGATCCTGGATCATGTGCATGGCCTGGTTCAAGGTTCGTACACTGAAGGCTTCTTTGACACAAATTGAGCTTCTTTGTTAGCAGACAAGTATGCAATGATCATCTTGGCCCAGGTGAAGAACGATCTGCAGAAGGGTATGCAGTCGACGAAAGGCACGTGAACCACCCATGCCCTTTAGCTTGACTGACCTTAAGCAGCTTGAAGAGTGTTGAAGACATCACTCTGACTCAGGAATCTTCAGCCTTGAGCACGGCTCTTCGCTGGCTGCTAAATACCCAGGTTACGGGGCTGAATCATCTCGAAGTATAAAGCACTGAATCATTGCCAGCTCGGGCGGCGTGGATGGCGGCCAGCGCCCGGCAGGCATCGCAAAAGGTAACTCGAACCAGGTTTGCGGGAAGGGACTTGCTATTTGGTGCTCTGGATGCTGGCATTGTGCTGTGCGGTGCAAGAGCCTCCCCATTGGAGTTATATGCCCGGAGTTACAAAGGACGCCGGTGGACGTTGTCCAGCGGTGTCCAGCAGTGTCCAGCGGTGTCCTCCGCTGATCCCCGATGGCATCGGGTGATCAAACGGTCGGTGCCGTTGATGGCCACCTGTGTCCGACGGTTCGAAATCAAAGTCCGATGAAGATCTGTTCACGTCCAACGATGTCCGTTGGACGCGACCATATTTTGGGAATGAAGTGATTAAGGTGAATTTGTTCTGCACAACAGGCTTGCAACAGGCTTCAACCAAGACGTGAGGTCAGCAATATTCATGGGTAGTATATGATGAAGCATGCTCAAATTTTAATTGAACTAGTAGTACCACCGGAAACTAAGTGTCTCAGTCAATTTCTCGTGCTTCAGACCCACTGCAAGAGATCATATCTTGAGGCCACATTCCTGTATACTGTCATTCACAAGCAGGATAGGTATTCATGTCCATTCATTATTTATTTGAAGCGAAACAGGCATCCTGATCCACCGGAATCCATTGGAATCCACTGAAAATCCATTGAGTTCCGGTGGATTTCGGTGGATTTTTTAGTGACATCCACTGTACATGGGTGTACAGCTGAGTTTTCCGATCACACCCAGTGGGATTCACCGTATATCATGCCATTTACAATATACGGTGTCTCTCCTGAGGAGACGGTGGACGTCGGTGGATATTCACTGGTCTTCGGCGATTCCCGCAACCAAATCCGACGGATGCCGGTGTCCCGGACCGGCTTTGCCGCTCCGCGCATAATACACCCCCATTGCGTAACTCCGTTCCCTCCGTCCCGCGACGCTGGGAAAAAAGAAGGTACGATCAAATTTGGAATCCGGTTGACCGAAAATGCCAAACGGTTTGATCCGGTTCATGTTACAACTGTGCCGAATTGTGCCGAAATCATGCGAATCGGTTTGCTGAACCAACCTGCGTGGAAGGGTACAGTTCTGAAAGAATGGTACGGAAAGTTACCTGATCAATTTTGTCTTCGAAGTGGATGTCTCATTGGCAGGGAAGGGCTCAATGGAAGAAGACATGATTTTACTCACTTTCCCCCAATTGTCATATTGAGGAACTTGTAGCCGAATGGTTCAGATTATCGGGGGTGTGGCGAACACACCGGCTTTTGGTGGCTTTTGGTTCTAAGTAACTTGTGTCGCGAATGTTGTGTACAGGGTGATGGAACAATTGGAACGTTGGTGGGATCATGATATGCTAGCAAGCGTATGCCCCCAAGAAATACAGGTTCATGAAATACGTAAAACGGAGCACTTTCACTCCACCACTAATACCCTACAGAACATACCGGAACGCCAAATTTTGTCTAAGCAGTCACACTAAGCACCGTAACTTTCAAAGCTCATGTCGGAAAAAACCCAAATCGGTTCGAACGAATTTGGTCGGCTTCTCGGCGTGGAAGGGATTGGAACCGGTTCCAAGCCGCGGGCGGGGTGGCTTGGAACTAGTCTCGAGATGTTCGAAGTAGCTCAAGGTGATTAAGGCCTTGGGACGGCTTGGGTTGGCTTGCCAGTGTCCAGCTCGGACGTACAGCATTAGATAGTGTATTAGTGAATAGATTGAACACCCTGCCGACTGGCAAGAAGAAGAAAAACCCAGTACATTAATCTATATTATTTACACGCAGAAACATATCCTCGTCAATGCAGTCCACCACATAGAAAACCTGACGCGGGGCGCCGAATATGGGACACAGCAGAGCGCCGCGCGTAACATGTTCAAGTGCAACGAAGATTACACCTCCGGAACTCCATTCGCGGATAGGACAATCAGTGCGCGTGCGCGCAGCTCAGGAGCTTTTGCGGTAGGGTCGGATCATGGCGAGATCAAGAGTGACTTTTTGTGGCAGATGGCATCGAAAAAACGAGTTGAAGTTGGCCCATCACTAGGTCGTCGTCCAGGGCTTCGTAAATGACGGAATCGTATCGAGGGCGCGTGTGGAAGCAGGGGTTGCAGCGGAGGATATCCCGGGCAAGCTTCCAATCAACTTTGGATTGATAGCTGACATAGAGATTCAGAAGGAATGGAATCGAGCACATGCATTACGACTCCGTCTTCGCAGCTCTAGGCTTTTTTCGCCTCGGGCTCCGTCAACGGGGTGATGTGCTCTGTATTCGTGACTGTCGCCCCCGGCGCATTAATGCGCCCAGGAACAAGAATTACATTGAATAAAAGTTAAACCATGGTTTCTCGCGCTTTCGGGAGCCCAGAATTATTTTGAGTCCACATGTCAGATAGTGCGAACTTGTTAAATTTCGGACAAAACTGGAGGTGCGCTAAGGTCATGATTCCTGTTGTTTTTCCCTCCTAAGCACGGGTTCGAAGCGTTGTATCAACATTTTTCGCAGGTCGTCGTTTTAAAATGAAGGCGTCTCGTTTCCGGTTTATCCTGGAAACAGTTGTGATCACGCGCGAGGGGGACTCAGCAAAAAGAATTTAGACGGTCATTTTCCAACTTTACACCAGCGTTTGCTCGTGTTGCAACGCCACAAATGGCGTAGATGGGCCATGTAAGTATTCCACTTTGGATTCGAGTTATACGTCTCGTAGCGGGGTTGGTGGTGGTTGAAATGCCGCTTACGTGTGTGTCTTGCGTGTGTGTGTACCCGATGCTTAGAGAAGGTGAAAAAACCTGAATGTGGCGGAATTCAGATAGTCGAAAGCTTAAGGAACACAGTGATTGATTGTAAGAACCAGGTAAATCCAAACAAGACTGACTCGGGGATGTCGGGTCCGGGTTGTGAGGATCCACAGTCGCCATTCAGGTCTGTTCGTTCTCACTCGCTGTCGTCGTGAGTCAAACAGTCAAACAATTTCCCGGAAACCGAAGTAATACAATAGGGATAACGAGAAAAAACTATCTGTTTGGAGACGGGGGCAGTGCAATGCCAGCTCCGTTGCCACTAGGGGGAATCGAACCCCGGTCCTCCCTAGCCTTGCCTCCTTAACTTGCGGAGCTGCGCGGCGGCATCAATGGGCGTCCTTCCACTAGACCATAGTGGCAACGAAAGCTCTGAATTCTCCCTCAATATGTGACCCCGGAAGCTGTGCTTCTGGCTTTCCACTTGAAATCTCCATTCTTATCGAAGTCAGCGTGCTGGCTGCGATTCCTTCCTCTTGGCCAGTTTGAACTGCTGTGACCTTCATTAATGGTGATTCCGCATGGAGAAGAGAGTCCGCATCAAAGATTACGGGACCGGAGCAAAACGGATGGACGAATAAGGCAGGCTTCTGTACCCGTGCATCTACTGGTCCCCTTGCCGGTCCCGCAGAACTCTCTCTTCTACCCTCCAACTTTCCTACTTGGTCCTCCGCAGCGCAAATCCCCTGTCAAATTTCCTCTGCCTTGCTGTCCCATCAAAATGCCGAACTTTCCCGAGCTCCTCGTCGCCGGTCCTCTCCCAGGCTACAGGGACACTCACCGGGCGCAGCAATATCAGTCACCGCTACCAAGTGCGCAGGTCGACTCCTCACTCGTCGCTGATGTTCACAGCACGCGGTGGCATGGATATGCTTCCACGCTGTGACGTCCGTGTCTTCCGCTCGTTTGGCGTTTGTCGAGTGCCAAGCACGCGGCCCTGGCTTACAAACTCGCCGCCAGCCTTTCTCCAACGCTGTCCTACACCATCTGTTGCTCTATTAATCGTCTCGGGCGCGCTGGCGCAGTGCGATGCACGACAACGGATGGCGGAGATTGCTTCCTTGCGTCCGCCCCACTCTCAGCCTCAATTTGCTACTGCGGGACCTCAATGTAATCGTATAACCATTAACCAGGCTGTCATATATTTGGGAGAAATCCGTATCCTCTCCGTGCGTCTCTCGATCGTAGTGCATCTTGTCCTCATATTCTTCGGCTCCGCTCGCTCCTGACCCTCCTCCTCTCCATCCACGCACCCCGCTCCTTCCGAAATCTGGGTTGTGACGCGGCACATCCCCGCCCGTCCCCGCTATATGAAAGCTTACGACTACGACCCACATGGCGAAGTTCTGACCTCTACGGGCTTTCAAATCTTATTTATCCTCGCGCCGCTCAGCTTATCCACCTTCCCCACTCCACTTTTACGCTTCCACACCGCTCCTTCCCTATCACCGGCGCTATATACAAATCATACGACTCCGGGCTCTATATAGGGCACAAAGCCTTTTGAATCTTCCCTTTCGGCTCGCGCTCAAGCCCCCGTTGACCCTTGATCACCAGCAGACATGCATCTCCACCTCATCCTACCCTCCCTCTTCCTCCTCGTCCTCGTGGTTTCGCTATTGCGTGACGCTGCCGCCTAAAACCCACCGGGCGTCACCCAAGAGTCATCTTCGTACGGAATGGCTAGTGCGTGAGGCAGGATGGGGACTTCATGTCATGTTGGGAGGGCGGCACGACTGCAAAGTGGCCGCGGATGAGGTACGTTCATTCCGGCCTTGGCTTAATGGAAACTTCGCTGATGGAAGTACAGCGCAGTTGCTGCTCGCGCAACGATACTATTCCACGAAAGCTCGCAAACCGCGAGAACAAAATCGCTCACCTCCGACTTCCGAATTGTTCAAACTCTGCGTAACTAATTATGTGTACTTTATCGCAGCGTATTCAGTTTGCGGAGTGCAGTCTTTTCTGCGACCCTGAGCGCCGAGAATAATTATATTCAAATCCTCTGCAATCCGTCGTGTCCATTGCATACAATAGGGCTGCTCAATTTATCCGTCGTTCACGTCGTTCGTTGTAAATAAATTCAATATTTGGTCGAAACAAATAAATATTTCAATCTCCGCTCGCGCTCCTTCTTACTGTCTACTTCCACACGCCACTCAAGAGTCAGTCACGAATTGTTTGTAAAATCCCTTCGCGGGTGTGTGTATACTATTTCTCTTCAAATATTTTTCTCGGCGTGATACCTGACGCGTAAATATGCAGTCCATACTAAGTCCATACACAGTTTCGACGCGCTCAACGCGGGAAAATGCAGACCACAGTGCGTACTTCCAAGCTCTAATGCCTACCTCTCACTTAGACACGCGACAGACGAACGTGAACGGGTACAATTTCCCCATTTATTATCAATACACGCCAGGTCCAGGCCAATACCCAGGTTACGGCTATTCGACACTTCCGCCGCCGCCGCCGCCACCCCAACCCGCCCCAACCCCACCTCCTGTCAATGGGGTGGTTGGATCCACGCCCACTTCATCTCATCCAGAGCCATCCCAGACCATACCTGCGAAACGCGGTCGCGGCCGCCCTAGAGGGTCTGGCCGGAACCACACAGCCAATTCCCGGTCCCCGAGAAAAAGACGCAAGAAGGCGAACCAGGCTGTGCAACAAGAGAAGGAGAATCAACCGGCTCCGGCCCTAACTCCAGTCCTGCCTCCAGCGCCGCCTCCAGCGCCGATTCCAGCTCTGGATGTAACGGACCACACCATTGATCTGGCAATCTCGGATTCCGAGGACGCCCCTTCCAAGCGCTGGCCAGTCACCGACAGGGACAAGTTATTCAGGTTTATCCTTGGACAGGATGCAGAGGGTGATAAGAGGTTCGAGCAGCACAAGAAGAATCCCGGGCACGTTTATGATGTGGTACGTTGAGTTACTTCTCTTCTCTTTGCTGTCGCTCAGATCCATGTAGGCTTCGAAGAACCTTTTCAAAGGCAAGCGCACAGTGGACGCGATTCGAGGCCAATGGCAGCGCGCCGTGAAGCTTTACGGCTGGATGGTCGCGTTTGACAAATTCACTGGTAACGGTGGGGGTGATCCCGACACCGACGACCCCTCGGCTGTCCTAAAGGGTAAACTTGCCGGTGCCCGCACCGCCGGACTGGCTATTGGCTCTCTCACACCCGCGACGATTCTTGAGTGGGAACATAATGACTGGAGGGACCTACTTGATCAACGGTAAGTGTCCATTCATTGTCGATGGATTGAATCTTGAATCTGTTCTAGATTCGGTGACAGCGCGAAGGTGATCCGCCCTGTCGTCCGTGGCTCTGCCGCGGCTCTGTCCGATGTCGAGGACTTCGATGACATGTCGGACGATGGTATAGACCCCGCGCTCAAGGAGATGGTCTCGAAGGGGCCCGCCGCCACCGTATCCGAACCAAAACACGTTGCGCCGGCTTCCAAATTTCGCGCGCAGGCGGCTCAGTCTTTCGGAAATATCGGAGAATATCTCAAGGTCAAAGTCGTTGCCGATGAGAAGAAGGCCAAAGCGTTGGAAGCGAAATTGGAGCTTGACGAGAAGCGCTTTGAGCTGGAACGGCAGCGTGCGAAGGTGACGTTGGCGAAAGATGTCTGTGAAGCGAATGGGATGAGTGAAGAAGTTAAGAACGCTGCCAATTCCTATCTACTTGCGTTCTTCCAAGACTAAATCTGCTCGCATTTGGATACCCTACACATTAATAATGCCGTACTTCATCGTATATAGTCCACATATTCCAGCATAATTCTACCGTACATTCTTTAGATTAGATTAGAACAAGTCATCCAGTAGCTCCCGGCGCTTCTTGCGCCCTTCGTATTTCAACCACCTGTCTGTTTCACGTGCGGGTACCTGTGCATCTCCGACGACAATGAGAGGCTCTGAATTTCCATCCACCTCATCCTCTGGATCGTGCGGGTCCTCATCCAGCTGCCACAGCGCATCCGGTTTGTCCTTGAGATCAATAGCCATGTTGTGCAGGATCATGAGGGCCTCAATGACTTTATACGCTTCCTGCATGGATTTATGAGGACCCATCCCACGCAGGCAGGGGAAGCAACCCTTGAGAAGCCCAAAGGTGTGCTCAATTGAGATCCGAATTGAGGACAGACGTCGATTGAACTCCCTCATTCGGGGTTGGTCCTCCGGGCTTGCATCTCGGATCTCTGGCTCGTCAAATGGACGGACCGTCCACGGTGTTGACGGGTATCCTGTCCATGACATGAGAAACACATATATGAATGGAGAATACAGCCGAACCTTTATCAACAAATATGTATTCTTCACCCTGGAAATAGACATGGCGCCGTTGCCATATGCCAGAGTTCTTGAAGATCTTCACGTCGGTTGCTGCTCCCGCCCATCCGAGCTCATAGGAGGTGAAACGATGCTCATGGTCGCATGTTGCTTGTATATTTGTCTAAGAATGATGAACATCGCCCCTTGGATAAATGAACTGCACTTACCGAAAAGAATTTCTTTCTGGACATGTACAGATGTCCGTCCTCTTCGGGTGCATCGCCAAAACGTATAAGGGACCCATCCCCAGATCCTACGCAATTAGGAAAGCCCGAAAAACTCTCGATATGGTCAGAAATAACTGCTTTGCGGGCAGCATCCATCCATCCGACAAAACGGTCACAAAGTTCCCGGATTGCACGCGTTGTTCGGCGGCAGTAGAGGAACACAGTACCAAGTCCAATGGATAGCTTCTGGGCTGTTCCTAAGGTATCAGAACCCAGAGCACCGTAACGAACTAGGAAGCAGCCGAGCTGATACTTGACATGGCGTTGAGGCCTACGCCCACGCGAAGTAAATATTGGATTGGTCGAGAGTGTTGCGACTAAGGAATCAAACATGTCCCTGCCGATTCTTACCCAAACATCAGTAAGGGATAGCGACCATTCGATGCTGCCCACCGGAACATGTGCCGAAATTCACGATCTGGGGCCTGAAGACAGACTGAAAAGAAATCCACCGACTTGGGGATCTTGTTGTAAGGGCCCCTCGATCCGTTATCCCTCATATATTCAGCAATCTCCATCCAATTCAAACTTGCAAGATCTAGGACTTCCGATACATCGTCAGCGAGAAGATTGGCCTCGAATTCATCATCGCAAAACTCGTCGATATCTTCTTCCAGAGCAATAGATGCAGCAAGTAGATTCTCAGCAATAAACATAACATCTGAATAGACCTGGGACTTAGTAGTTTGAGGCATTGGCGGCGAGCACGAAAGACGAAAGCACAAAGTCGTTAGAGTGAGCGGAGATTGAAATATTTATTTGTTTCGACCAAATATTGAATTTATTTACAACG